ATATTCCTGACAGTATAATATCTCTTAAATAAAAACTTTCATTAAGAGCTACAGTTTTTTGTCTTGATATTACTAAACAACGAGATATTGATGCTGCATTTGAACAAGTCAGCAATAAGACAAACGTTCTTCATGCACTTGTTAATAATGCTGGTATAGACAGTTTTGGATACGTTGACTGGATATCAATGGAAGTTATAAAAAAAATTATGGATGTTAATTACTTTGAACATGTTGCAATGACAATAAATTTTTACCATTACTTATTACTAAACGTGACTCACGTGTTGTTAATACTAGTTCTGCAGTCGATTATCTTGGATTACCAAGTTCATCTGCTTACTGCGCATCGAAATGTGCACTTGAATCATTTTCTGATTGTCTTCGTCGTGAAATGGTTCCATGGGGTTTACATGTTAGTGCAATTGAACCAGGTGCAATGAGAACACCCATTATTGAAACGAGTCGTGGATCATTTGCAGATTTTTGGAGTCAACTTTCAAGTGATGCTAAAGAACGATGGGGAGAAAATTTTATTAAAACTGAATTTAATATCATACAAGAAAGTCCACTTTTCAAATTTGCCGAAGATCCTATAAAAGTCGTGCGATCTCTGCAACATGCTGTTATGAATAAATCTCCTCATATTCGTTATCGACCTGGTTGGCAATCAAGTTTTATTTTATTTCCACTTTCGAATTTACCTGTTCGGATTATCGACTGGCTTCTCAATGCACTAAACAAATCACGTGATCCTCCAACGGGTGTTTCTCAACAACTTAAAGACTGACGTATTTTAGTTAGTGAAACGAAACAATATTTTTTTAATATATAAAGTACTATAGAATTTTACTTGTCATTGATTAAAAAAGAATACTTCGAAAATCATGATTTTAGATTCATTAGTTCCATTAGGTTTTTTTATGAAATGTGCATATGAATGGTGTATGGAAAATTTAAATTATAATTTAATTTGTTTCAATCAGTTAATTTTATAAGTCTTATATGTTCGAGAAAAAGATAATAAACAGAAACTCTCATTCTATTTAAACTGTAATTATTTAGCAAAATTATCAAAGATTCAAAGATAATCATTACAGATATGTGATTATATCAAACAATAGTAGTGAAGTGACTTAGTTAATTTTATACGGATAATACTCTTTGTGCATAGATTATGCATAAATATTTATTAATTGCAGCATATCTTTGTGAACGTAAAAGTCGGTATGATCATTCTAATGTACAAAACGTTTCATATTTTCTGTGACATACAATGACTATTGAGATATAGTTTTTCGTTTGTCACTATGAAAAGATAATTTATAGGGTGAATAATTAGACAGTTATAACTTCTAGATAAAGACAAAATGATTTTTTATCATTGTATTCAGTAATTATTACATTAAGATAAAATTCTTAATCCATATAGTGCTATAGTAAACCTGAACGAATTACATTTGAGTATCTACCCTAAAAATTAGAGTATGAAGACGTATTTAGAGTAAATGTATGTAGCTCATTGTTTCAACATGCAAAATTTACTTACAATGAATTAAAACGTTCATTAAGCAAAATGAATTTGTAATCGAAACTTTATTAATGTGAGTTCAGCTTGCTTCTTATTACTACTAGGTATATGCAATAATGAAAATTTTTATTTATCTCAGTTATTAATTGTCATGTATTTGATTCGAATCAATAACCGAATCTCTGGAGAAGTTCACTATATTTAATTGATTAGAATTAACCATGTAGCAAATTATAGGTATTCTAGTTACACTTCTATGTGATTTGGGGTGTGGTTGTGGCTTTACAGAGTCGTTGAGGGTAATGAAAGAAGTATATCCACTCACCCACACCCACACCCCACGCCGTTTAAGTTAATTTGAAAGTATTCAATACTCTTAAGTAACAACATGCCATCTTCTTTTGTGAGCGAGAAACATGTATTTTAACAAAAGCAGACTACTAAACATATTTTACAAATATTAAAGTATTACTACTATAATCAAAAATTTAGTGATAAAAAAAAACCACATTTCAGAAAATGTTTGAGGACGCGTCTCATCACGAAAGTTAGTGTTTCTACAAGTTGAATGGCAATACGAGTACTCTACGACCATTGTCTTTTCTTTCTGTAGACTTTTTTCCAACCTCGAGGTACTTCATCATCACTAAGATCTTCTTCATCTGAACTAGGGTCATCTTCTTTGTCAAAAATAAAATCGTGCCATTCTTGCGTGCTCGATAAATCCGAGTCGAAACATTCATCATTATTATCTGTTTTCTTGTCGATTATCTTTGTATGTGTTGCTGTTCGTCGTCGTTTCAATGATTGTGAACGTGTACCATCATCATCATCATCATTACCTTCATTGTATAATTTATTTACTTTTTCTGTTTCAAAATATTCATTAGCGTTCATATTGATATTATTATGGTCAGATGAATGTACAGGAAGATTCTTTCTTGAAAGGCTACCGCTATTTGTTTCAGATGATGTCTGATCAGCTATTATCTTTTTAGAAGAAGATGATGATGATGATGGGATAGATACTTCGTTTTGCATATAGGAATAACATCGTTTAGACATTCGAGGAATTTCTTCAGTAAATAATTTTGATTTACGTACATCATAATTTGGCAAAAGAATATAATTTTCTTCTGGTTTCTTTTCCCATTGTTCATAACAATCAAGTAACCATTCAGGTGTGACAACTTTTATATTATTTTGTAAAGCTTGCTGAACTTTCATCGTTTGTTTTCCACCAATAATATGTGTTGTTCGAATGGTACCATTCTCATCAAATTGTAGATCATGAGTTACGGTTGCTCCCATCATTTTAGCCATTATTGTTGCACTATGTTTTTCTAATGGATAGTTTTTTGGCATTAAATGAGAAAAGCATAGAGATACAGAATTGAGTATTTGTCGACGAATATTAGGAATAATTTGTTTCAAATTAGGCATAGTTCCTTTTTTATGTTGAACCCATTGATCATAAGTTGTATAAAATATCTTATGGATACGTTTTAAAATTGCCTCTAATTGCTGTAAATAGAGATCTGAATCTACAAATTCATGAGAATCATTGTGTTCTTTGAATCTTTTACTTAATCGATCGCTTGTGTTATTCATTTTACGTTTTTCACCTGATTGATATATTTCTTCGTTAGTCTTCATTTGTTCACTAATTGGTGGACTTATTTGTGTTTGAGTAATCGATAACGATGAAAGATGGAGACTATTTATATCACCAACATCTTTGAACCATGAATATGGTTTGACTTGAACAAGATTTGAAGCATGATTCCATACATCATCACGATCGTCTATAATACAGACTAATGCATCACTGTAAGGAAAGAGACTACTCAAATTAGCTGCTTTGTCTGTCAAACTGAGACATTCATCACGAGATAAGACTCGATGAGAAAAAAATTTTCCATCAGGATCAATTAGTTTAGCTATAGTATTTGCATATGGTCGATCACCAAATGTAACTATATGGAATTGATAGAGTGATCGAAGATTTGTAAGGAATTCTTTAACCCCTGGACGTAATTTTGTATGGAATGTTTGTCGCATTTGTGTGTATAACTGATAAGAGATTATATCTGAGGAAGGCGGATAGTAATTTTTAGAATTTGTTGTATGAACTAGAGTTTGATCAAGATCAACCAATAGATAAAGTTTACGTTTACGAAGAAGAAGCTTAAGGTCTTCATTGTCATATCTTAAAGCTTCTTCAGCAGTAATTTTTACTGATGGAAATGAAGGTTCCATTGATATAATAGATTTTCTATATGTTAATACTGGTACGATATTTTTCAATTGATCTAAATAGATACCACAATCACTACATAGATTTTTGAAAGTGATCGTATGTCGACATTCTTCATATTCCAGAATGATTGAACCATATGAAAGAATGTCCAATTCATGAACATACAATTTAGTAACTGTACCAGATACGGGTGACGAAAATGATTGTCGTTGACCGTTCGTATCAATCATGGTAAAAATCAAATCATTTCTTATTAATTTTCTATCGACATGAATCCGTAGTTTACACACTTGCACGGGTTCATTCTCATCGTATCTTAACTGCTTTATATTACTATTAATGTGATCACCATAGACATCAGTATGACTCATAGTGCGAAAAATATGTCGTTGCTTTATGCGTAAGCTACTGTGAAAGAAAATTTATCTGCTGTCGTGTAGCGCAGGTGATCGCTTTTGTCCTTACACATAACGCTTTTTCTTTCCTTTCCTTTTCTTGTCATATAGAATGTCTCATGACTTGTATCATCATGACGAATCTTTTCCTCCTACAGAACTCTGCCGTATTCTATCGAGTTACTCATTGGAAAAAAACCCATTGCTTGCTATTAAATTTTACAATGTCGTTATTCAAGCACAATAAATCTATTCAACAGATACTGTGTAAAAACATTGCAAATTCCTCATAGTTTTTAAAAACTGTTACCTGAGGTTATTTTAATATAGATCCTAGAAGAAGGGGTTTGTTTTCGCATCTCCTTTGGAATTTATGTATGTTATGCTCTTTTTATTTGTGCGAAGTATACGAGAACAAGAGAGGAAAAATAACCTAGATATTCATGCACTCAATATTCTAATTCATATATTCTGGAGTCGAATTCGTCTTATAAATCTTACATTCTTCGAAAATTCTCTATTTATTGAAAAACACGAGCTAACAAGGCATCTTCTTTCACTACGTAATCGGGACCAAAATAGTATCTTGTGTATTTCAAAGACTCCAACTGAAGATCTGTATGAAACTCAAAATACATAGTGTGATGGCTATTCTCTTAGTCTAAATCTAAATTGTTGTAAAACTTCACTCGATTCATTATTTAGTATAAAATTAAACCTTGATAATAAAAAGAAATACATTTAACAATAATTGAAATAATACCAATACGTTTTCGTTTTCCAGTTCTCTCTTAGAAAAACCCTGATATTTACTTAACTGGCTATAGAGTTGAAATTAATGGATAAATATATAATACATTAACTGAATACTAATCAGACGAAGATCATAAAGTACAATTAAATGAAAATATGAAAGATATAGTCAAAAGAAAACAAATACATTAATATGTCAATAGTAAGGATGAAGGATGATGTGAAACAGTATACAATAGAATTAAATGTTCGAATGTCTAATAATCACGGTTATATCAAAAATCATTTACTATTTTTATGCTAAACTTATTTAGATCTTCTTCGTTCATTTCAAATTAATTTTGAATTCTATTATAATTTTACAATCGATAATATAGTTCAACAAAGAAATAAAGTCAAACCATTAGGAAAAATATATGTTCATTGGATAGTATCAAATATTTTGACAGTTTATTTTATAGCGGCAATTATCAAAAAGATTTCTGTATTCAACAAAAAGTTCTTAATAGTAATGAAACATCATTTACAAGAGATTGACTATATTTTAGTAAAAATGTCAATATCATTGAAGGAAAAACAAGAGAGGATATAATTTCACACATGTGTTTATTATATTAGCTATACTTGTTTGAATAATAATGAGATACAAATAATGCAAGTATCAGCACAACATCTAAACGAAAATAGATGATAAAATTTTATTTTCAAAGATTTTACGTGATTTAATACTTGGTTTTACCTATGAAATACTGGTTACAGTAGTTAATAGAAATAGTTTATAAATCAAATATATATACAATCCAAATGAATGTTTCGATTCTTGCCATTTAGCATGATATTTTTTAATTGAATTTATACGTAGTTTGTATAATTTTGCTATTATTGGCTATAAAATCTATATCACCAATTGCTTTTAGTAGCTATTCTTTTACATGATCAATGAACATAAGCATTAAAAAATGATTCAACATGTGAAGAATATACAACTTATATCCTAGCATTAAGTAAAGACAAAAACAATAATTGAAATTTCTTTTATGATAGATTTTTTCCGAAAATCCAACAAAACATGGTATTCGTTTACGTGGTAAATTTACACGATCAATTATAATAGTATCTGGTCGATTTCGAAATTTTTACTCATATAATTCAACTACATTTTTTATGAAAAAAAGATGATTGTAATATACAATTTATGCTTGCTATTTATTAAACAATTTTTCTTAACTTTAAAAGATTTCGTTCAACAACTATGATAATGACACCAACATTTCGATAAATTCAACATTGATGAATTAAACTATACCATAAAACTTTATTTTAATTTTATATATTTCTTTTCTAATCTCATAAGCGAGAAAAAAAATATATTCTTGATTTTTATGATGATGAAAAGAAATTTTATATTGTATGTATTCTATTTAATTCTGCATTGTATCATACGTTCGGTATTGTTAATTAATATAACAAGTAGCTTATTCTATTTCAGATTTGTTTTCAAGTTTAGTTTATCTCAGTTATTATGATTCTAGCACAATATCTAGATTTACGTGAATGTTGATATGAATTAGTGTATGAAAGACGGAATAAATATTTGATACTATAGTTTTAGATTAAGAGTGTGGGTGTGATTAAAAACAAACGCAACAACCACACCCGTAACTAAGTTCATATTGAAAAGAAGAGCATTTGTGTTCATTTAAATTGATATTGGTATCAACCAAATAGTACATCCTGAATTTAAATGTAAAATAAATGAGAGTTTTCTTATATTTTTATGTTTATCCTAATACTTTGCTCATTTTAGTGAATGTATGCGGAAAATAGAAGTAAGTATTTTTGGAATATGAATGGGATTGTGGGCACTTGTTTGAACCTTTTAAATGTGAGTGTCTCGATAGTGAATGAAGAGATTTGTCTGAGATTGCAGTGTCGTAGGCCTGCAGAACTTGTGTTTGCTCCTTATAGTGGTGTCATGAAAAACTATATAAATTCCGATACTTTCTGTCATGTGCTGAACCAGTATGAGAGCATATAATAGATGATTTTGTTGGTCTCCCGCGGAACCCAATTTTAGGCAGAACCTTTTGGAAGAGTTCTTTGCTTAATCTAATGGCAGAACCCAGAAAAAGATTCTGCAAAACCTCTATGATTTTTTCAGAGCAGGGAGTGAATTCTATTTGTTGAGGGTTAGGGTCTCCCATGAAGAGTGTGGGTGTGTAAAATAACTTAACAAATGATAAATATTGTACTAGTACTATACTTTATCATCTTTTGATACTCTGAAAAATACGTTTCAACATTTAAAACAAAATTCATGTATTTTCTGATGGAGCTGCTCAACAATTTACGGTAGAAATTATATTATAGTTTTCAGCAACTTGATATTGTAAGATTATTTTAAATTATTTAGACAGAATTATCTTGACAGTACTTTGCGACTTCTCATGATAAGAGGATCATTGATGGTAAAGGAGCAGTAGTTAAACGTCTTGTATATTCTTCAATTGTGAGGGAACAACAATGCCAATTAACAGCTAATTTTGTCACTATTGCTCAATCGAAAACAAATACAATTAAGACTTTTGAAATAGAACAGCATCGTAAAGATAAGTCAAACGTACAAATGGCACATGTATTTCAGTGAGTGAAACCTGTACCAAAAACGAAAAACAATTCAGTCAGTTAGAGTTTTACAAAATAATTCAATCAAATATAAATATTATTCTAACAAATCAACAACAAAAAAAAACATTG